TTGATAATTTATAAATTATTATGATTTTGTCATGTCTAACACTGTCCGACATCTTTCTTCATCCACTTTCTGTTGTCCATCCCCCAGGGAGGGAGTTATATGTAGATCCTTGTAATCGGTTCCCCCTTTCTCCCCACCTTCCCTCCACCCTCCCAGTTTTGCCACTCTCACCACTGGTCCTGAAGGGCTCATCTGTCCTGGATTCCCTGGGTTTCCAGTTCCTAGCTGTACCAGTGTACAGCCTCTGGTCTAGCCGGATTTGTAAGGTAGAATTGGGATCATGATACTGGGGTGGGGTGGGGGGGATGGCGAAGGAAGCATTTAAAAACTAGAGGAAAGTCATATGTTTCATCATTGCTACCCTGCCCCCTGACTGACTTGTCTTCTCCCTGTGACCCTTCTGTAAGGGGGTGTCCAGTTGCCTACAGATGGGCCTTGGGTCCCCACTCCGCACTCCCTCTCATTCACAATGATAAGATTTTTTTGTTCTTTGATGTACGATTCCTATGAGAGCTGTAAGTGCCCCCAATGAAATGATTTTTCAATAATAAAAAAAGACTATTGTCTCCCCCCACCACCGTCACCCCCAGCTCCACATAAAAATAAGAAAAACATGCCAATCACATGACACAGATTTCTGATTAGGTCAGCACCCCTCTTTCTAACTAAAGGTGTTTGGGATCTAGCCAGGGGTTGGAGAGTGGTTCTGGAGGCAGCCCGACAAGACCTGGGCTTAAGGTCTGTCCCTTTTCAGCCAGGGGACACTTAGTTGGGTCACAGTTTCTTCCTTCCTAAAATTGGGATCCTCATACTACTCCCGCAATGGGTTGTTGGGAAGTTAGGAGTGAAATAATGCATCTAAATCCCACGAGAGAGCTGAGCACAGGCAACACTCAATTAATATTAGCTGTTTTTTCGGGGCCTGAGTCATCTTCCCTGGGGCTGCTCACTTCTGAGTAAAAAAAAATCTACCTCCTGAGATGACAAACGCTGACCAGCGGGTCTGGAGTGCCTATTTATACACACACGTATATTCAAGATCCCTCCCCCTCCAGGCTCAGCGCTAAGGTCTTATCACCATCACACAGATTGAGTACCGAAACAGAGGAGTTGGGTCTGAGGAGGGACCAAACGCAAACCCAACAGGCTCCTTGATAACCCTGTGTGCAAGACTCCTCCCCAGAGGCCCCAGGCAGCAAGGCCCAGGAAACAGGTGGCAGCCTCCTTTCCCAAGTGCTTGGGTTCAGCTGCAGGGAGCTGGAGGCAGAAAGCAGAGGTGGGGCTCTGGGGCAGCTCCTCCCTGCGAGGTTTGAATTCTGTCCAGGGAAGCCAAACCACACGGACATGCAATGACAGGAAACTTCCAACCCACCCAGCCTCTCCCCCAGAGAAAAACCTGCTTCTGTAACGATTGCAGCCAAGAAAACCCTGTGGGGGCACTGCTACCTCAAGGGTCTGAGTCAAAGGACTTCAACGGCAGAGTGCCTAATAGACTGATTGATAGTGGGCGTGGCCCACCCCTGCTCAAGGGCCCAGCTGACTAGAGAGGCAATGACTAGCTTAAT